CCTAGATAGCTCCTCCAAATCCTTCCAGGAGTGTTTCCTAAGTATAACTTCAGGAGAAAACCCTGAACACTCTCTGAACACATTCCACAACAAATGTATAATAGGGGTCAGGGCTTCACATGTGGGATACCCAGGTTTGATCCCAGGCACCCTGAGCAGCATCAGACCAGAATCAGACTCATCAGAGCAGCATTAGGCTCTAAGAACTTCCAGGTGTATGCCTCTCTCTCTCTCTCTCTCTCTCTCTCTCTCTCTCTCTCTCTCTATATATATATATATATATATATATAATTAATGGAACAGAGAGTACAGGGGTTAAGGCACTTGCCTTGCATGTAATCAATCTGGGGTTGATCCCTGGTACCACAGAGGGTTCCCTCTGTTGACTGAGGAGGAGCCAAGGCCCAAGAAGCCCCCACAGGTTGTGGTAATAGATTCCGACACTCACCCTTCTGGCAGGAAGGAGAAACTAGAGCAAACTTGCAAACTTGCTCTTTCTTTTGCAATCGCTATCTTTCAAGGATATCTAGGCTTGAGAAGAAGGGTGAGAAACCACTAGAACATCCTGGGATAAGTGAGATGGCACCTCTGGGCGACCTACTTACAGAACCCACCAACATGGTTTTTCTCTGAAGTGTGTAACCCACAGAAGTGCAAACAGTGACACAAACAGCATCTATAAGATTTGAAGTTTCTTTGATACAGGGTCTTGCCTTGGCCTGCGTGCCTGATGGCTCGACCCCAGCTAGCTGGCTTGAATAAACTCCGTGTATGGCTTGCATTACTGACTGGACACTTTGTGTGACATCAGGGGCGGGGTCTCCCATTCTTGGACCCTAACACCCCCAAGTACCACCATGAGTAATTTCTGAGATCAGAGCCAAGAGTAAGCCCAGAGCACAGTCAAATGTGGCCCCCACAAAACAAAACATTTAATTCAGAGGTTTTCCATGTGTTTTCAGAATTGTGTGAATTGCATCCCTCTATAATTTCAGAATATTTCTATCACTTTAGAGAGAGACTGCCAAGAGAAGACTTCCTTCCCCCCCACCTTCCCAGTCTCCTGGCATCTCTTTATCCCATGTATTGCTGAGTCTAAACAAGGGTAATAATCAGGCAACTGGTCTGATGTTGTCTGGGGATAAAAAATTAATAATAATAATAATAATAATATCACAGCCAGCTCAGGTTTAAGGCAAATCCCAGCCAGCAGGATTGTTTTGCTCCACGGAGCTGAGCAGCTGGCCACAGGAAAGAGAGATCCTTTGGTATTCCTGTTCTGGCCAGTGCGCTCATTCCTTTCATCTTCTCTCATGAGGAATCTGCTCTGTTGTCCAGTCCTGGTACGAAATACTTATTCCATAAAAGCACATGACAGTCTGTCCTGACAGTGAGGGGCCTCCCACTGCTCCTTCCCCTCCTTCACACCATGCATTCCTGAATACCAGGGGCGGGAGTTTGGGGGGACAGGGATGGAGAGGAAAGAGAAAGTCAAAACACAAAATCACAATCTGATTAACAGTGAGTGTATTCATTTGAGCACCTGTGTTTTTTGTAGTTGTTATTGTTTTGTTTTGTTTTTTGGGTCACACTCAGCGATGCACAGGGATTACTCCTGACTCTGCACTCTGAAATTACTCCTGGCGGTGCTCAGGGGACCACATGGGATGCTGGGAATCAACCCAGGTCAGCTGCATGCAAGGCAAATGCCCTACACGCTGTGCTATTGCTCCAGCCTCTTGAGCACCTGTTTAAGATTTATTTATAGATACCGAAAACAAAACTTGGTAAGGTAGACATAGAGTCCACAAGTGTTGGCTAAATGCAGTTTCATTGCATGGATTGACATGAAACACTGTGGCTCAGAGGGGGCACAGCAGCCTGGGCACAGGAACCTCCTCAGGACCAACCAGGGTCCTGCTCTCCTCAGAAGTTCCCAAAGCATCCAGCCTCTGATGTTCCAAGGAGACCCTCCTCCGGTTTACTAGCCCATCTCAGTGAAGGGATGCTCACCCCCAGCCCCACTTTGGTTAAAAAGGTGTAAAAGGGAAAGCTTTTAGCCTTTGTCGTGAATCCTTCAGGAGATCCCTCCCATAATCTGGAGACTAAAGAGTATTAGGACTGCACTCCTGGAGTAATGAAATCTATAATTGTTGTCTGAGGTAAAAAAAAAAAAAGCACTTTGACATTCATGCTTAATGTTATTTTCAGAGACCTGAAAATTCCTCATAGGACTATCTTTTAAATGAGAACCACAGTATTAACTAGTTTGACTGATCTTATTAATATCGATTGTCAGATTTAAACTTCCTCTCTTCAGTTTTATTTGCTCTATAAAGGTGCTTTTGTAACCCTTTGTTCTAGCATATTATATATCTTTCCTAGCATATTTTTATATCATCATGATATACTTAATAGGATTAGTAAAATCTTCCCAATTTAGTCATAGTAAATGTTTACAATAACAATTGGAATTAATATTAAAATCACTCATAGGATTTCAATGACTTCAAATCATCATAGTTCTGAAGATGTGACTAAAGAGAACTATGGTTTGCCAACTAAAGTGGAATTCCAGGTTGCAGGGAGCTGCAGAGAACCATTTAATCACATGACCTTATACCTCTGGACAATAATTCATTATCATACTTCATTTGTGAGTACCCAAAGTCAGTATAAAAGATTATTTTAAACAGATGACATTTGTAGAAGAAGAACACCCGGTGATACTCAGGGGTTACTCCTACCTCTGCACTCAGAAATTACTTCTGGCAGTGCTCAGGGGACCATATGGGATGCTGGGGATCGAACCCTGATCAGCTGTGTGCAAGGCAAAGGCCTTACCCACTCTGGCTTCTAAGCGGATGACATTTTGAAACTAATTTTTATTTGTTTTGTTTTTTGTTGGGGCGGCCATACCTGGTGGTGCTCAGGGGTCACTCCTGGTGGACTCAGGGGGAACCATATGAGGTGCTGGGAATTGAATCCAGGTTGGCTGCTCTCAAGACAAGCACCTTCCCCATTGAATTATCTTCTATGGCTCCTATGCAGAAAACACTTGAGATTCAACAGATCCAGGAAGAATTCTCCATGCTTCTCTTAAGACCTGTAACACTGGCTGGCTGAGGCTGCCTTGTCCTCTTAGGGGACACTCACCTCATGGCACAGAAGACAGACCCTGTTCCTGCCTAAACACACATGATCCCAGGCATACGTGGTGCTAGGGGTGTAACCCAGGACCTGTACTGCCCAAAGCACACCTTGGCCTCATGGCCTGCATGTGTCCTGGACTTTATGCCCACTCTCCCCACCAATCCTGGAAGACACAGAACAGAAGGTCACTTCCTGCCCTCCATGCTGCTATTGGCTTGCCAAGCCCAGACTCTGGTGCTCATGAATTACCTCAAGCCTGGACATGCCCGTCTGCTTAGATAATCAGCCAAAGGTGGTGTATGACTTGGGGGTCCCTGTCACTTTCCATTGATGTCCCCCCCTCCCAACTCACAGGGCAGCTGCCTCCTCCATCATGACATTTCTGGATTCACAGAGTGACTTGGCCTCTGCTCCATCCTGAGACCTGCTGCTTCTCCCCACATCTGCCTCTCTGTCCCTGGCCCTCTGCCTGCCTTGTCTTGCACCTCGGCCCAGGATGCCCCACCCTCTGGATGTTCTAGCGGACCACGCCTTGGCAACAGGGAGCAGACAGACAGGCCGCTGCAGGCTGCTACGGGTGGGGGACTTTTCTATGTGGCAGCCCCTCCCAGGTGGAAAAGAAAGACCCACACAAGCTAGCAAAGAGCATGTGCCTTCACGTGCTTTCTCGAGCAATCTGTGGTATGTCTGTTGCCAACAGCGGCCATGGGCCAGGATCTCCCCTCTAGGTAACCAAACCCTCTGGCAGGCAGTGGGGCAGTTGGATGATGTGGTCAGCTCAGTCTTGTCAGCAACCAGCACACTCCTTGGTCGGCCAACTGTAGGTCACTGTAGTTCAGATCTGCCCTGGTTTGGCTCCCATGAGTCACACCTAAAAGGATTTAACCCACTGACCACAGAGAAAGATGTCCAGCTGTTCATTTAGCCAATCTGGGATCCAGAACATGCTCACACCAAGGGGAGCCCACCAGTTGCAGTCAGGACCACTCCTTTCAAAGGCAGCTGGGATAGAGAAGGGATCACTAAGACAATGATGATTGGAGGAATCATTCAGGATGGGAGATGTGTGCTGAAAGAAGATAAAGGACCAAACATGATGGCCTCTCAGTATCTGTATTGCAAACCATAATGCCCCAAAATAGAGGCAGGGAAAACTTGGCTGTCTCTTGGTGGAATCTTCAAATTCCAATAGTGAAGACCATTGATTGGTCCCTTCTTGTGAGAAAATTTTGTCATCAGGGAGCTGGGGATATAGTGCAGGAGTTAAGGCCTTGCATGCACCTGACTCATATTCCATTCCTGATAGTGCACGGTGCCCGCCCACACACACACCTCCAAGGGTTACTCCTGAGCACAGTGCCACCAGGAACCTCTGAGCACCTCTAGGTGTGACTGTAATCTTCAAAGAAAAATTAGATGCTTTGTACTAGTTGGTATAGGTTAAGATTTGCTGAGGCCTCATTTCAGAATCAGCTTCCTTGGCCAGGAATGAGATTGTCTAGTCTACATCTCCTCTCTCCCTGGGACTATTGACACTTTTATGTCACCACTGAGGAGAGGCTGCAGGCTAATCGAAGGAGGTGTTTCTTCAGCAGCTCAACTGCTCAACTGCCTGGGAGGAGATAATGAAGTTAACAAGGCAAGTTATCATTCTTTCTTTTATTGCATGCTGGAGTCCCCACACCCTCCAAAGACAGGACTGTAGGCACCAGCAGCAATTGCCATGTGATGCTCACCGCAGTAGGGGATGTGGGGGTGACAAGCTATCAGTGCCAGAGTAGGACACCAAGTCTAACATGTTCTAAATGCAAAACTAGAGCTTGATTGATGGAGCTTTTCTGTTTCTGTTATGGCCGTGTAATAGGTATGGCCAATTCTTCAATCCGGTGAGTACAGTGTGCTTTCAAAGCAGTTGGCTTGACTTTAAAGACTTCAGGATCATAATAAACGATATGCATAGGAGACCTGAAATAGGAGGGGAAAGAAATTCAACTTGAAATAAGATGAGCGGAAAAGGGAACTTAGATTTTTCAACAGCTACTTTCATGGCAGGCATTCTGTGACCTCCATCTGAATCTCAGAAGCACCCCACGAAAGAAAGTGCATAACTAGTACATTACAAATAAGGAAAAGAAGGCTCAGATAAGTTTAAGAATTGCCTGTGGCGATAACCAACATCTGCTCTTTCCACAGAAAGTTAATTCAGGAAATTTCTCAATAATCTGGGGATGTTGAAACAAGTCAGGCAGTCCCCCATCTTTAAAACATTACTACCAAATAATATCCTTGCCCTTGGGATAGAACCTTGAGCATCTGCTATTATTCTTTCCTTTAGTCAATGAATAGAGTATGAATTTTGTGACATTTGATGTTAAACTTTGGTCTTCTTTCTAATGAAAACCATGAACATTTAAAAATATTTTGTTTATATAAAAGTTCATATAAACAAAAATAAAAATATTTTGTTTATATAAAGTGGATAAGGCATATTCCTTGGCATGTGGCTGATCCTCTGTCAATTCCCTGAGTCATATGGTCCCCACAAACATCTCTAGGGGTCACTTCTGATCACAGAGCCAGGAACAGCCTCTGTGCACTGCTAGGTGTGGCCCAACTCCCACTGCCAAAAGAGAGAAGTCATGTTTCAGTTTTTCCAGTGTCTGAAAGATTTTCTGAGTGATGCTTTAAATGGGGTACCAGGTATCATCCCTTTAAGGCAACAAACTGAATCAAATTTCTGGGAAGTTTAGAAGTCTCCCCAACCTCATAAAATGACATTAACCTTCTTATGTATTTTAAATAGGCCATACATGCACATATGATAAAAACACATTAAAAATACAAAATCTGGGCTGGAGAGAGTACAAAGGTTAAGGTGCCCTGCATGCAGCTGTTTTGAAGCCTAAAACCTGAACCCTGAAATCACATATATCCCCTAAGCACTGCCAGGAGTGGTCCTGGAGCACTAACAGGTATTACTCCACAAAAAAAAATCCTATTTAATGAAAAAAAAGTTTATTTTCTTCCCTGGAATCTAAAGGTAAGTTTTGCTTCTTACCTTCTTGTACAGTCTTTGAGATATTATAGGCAAAAGGCACATGTATGTTTCCTTACCAAACTTATTGTGTGCTCTGTTCAGCAACTTGTTACACTTAGCAATTACACATTAAATAGTCCCATGTCCATATTTCAAGATTTGCCTCCTACATCTAAATGTCACTGAATTGACCAATCCTTTAACTATAGCTTTCTATTTATGTAGAAAGATCATAGATTGCTCATATTAAAGGCAACCAGTAAGTGATTTTTTAAGAATCTTTCCAGGGCATCTATAATTCTTAGTCTGACCTTACTAGATCAATTTTCTCCTTTCCCCATCCCATCTTCACCAGCCCATGTTAGTCTGAAATTAACTTACTTTGCACTTGGATGAGCTAGTTCCTGAATCCTGGGAGATATTTTGGAATGAGTAGCAGCATAAGAGACTGGCCAGTAGACATCACGAGGAGGCATAAATTCTTCATGAAGAGGCCTAGCTTTTGCTAGAGATTGTATGCGGGGGCTAGGTATGGCTTGCAAAGCTGCCTGGGATATCTACAGTGGAAAAGAAAGGACACAAACACATGCAAAATTTGGGGGCCACAGCCAGCTATGCTTAGGGTTTACTCCTGGCAGTGCTGGGGAACCACAGTTGGTGACAGGTATCGAATATGTGCTGGCTGCATAGAAGGCAAATTTCTTCGCTCCTGCTCTATTTCATTAACCTGCCATTTCTCTTCTTACAGTCTCAGAGGCCTCACTTGCCTGTCGGATTCTATTCTTGTTCCATGATGAGATAAACTTTGTGGCCCCATCATGGAGGAAGAGAGCGGGCATTTCAAATAGACTCCCTCTGTGCACTAGGCCTTGTTCTAAGTGACTGCCCTCTATCACTCTTAATCATCACTACGAAATGACACTCTGACTTTGTGAAGTCAAAGTCAGATCATAATAAACCTACCATTGGCTTCTAGCTTTATTCAGAAGAATGTTTCGGGGATGAGATAGTACAGAAAGTGAAGCGCTTGCCTTGCATGCAGTTGACTCCAGTTCAATCCCTGACACTGCATATGAGGTTCCCCCAGCATTGCCAGGGGTCATTCTTGAACACAGAACCAGGAAGAGCCTCTGGGAACTTCTGGGTATTCTCTCTCTCTCTCTCTCTCTCTCTCTCTCTCTCTCTCTCTCTCTCTCTCTCTCTTTCTCTCTCTCTCTCTCTCCCCCCCTTCCTCTCTTCTCTCTCTCCTCCCTCTCTCTCCCACTCTCCTCTCTTTCCTCTCTCTCCTCTCTCTCATCTCTCTCTCCTCCCTCTCTCTCCTCTCTCCTCTCTCTCTCTCTCTTTCTTTCTGTCTGCCAAATTTTGGCCCTGGAAAGTCGAGCATGGTCCTGCTTCATCCCACTTGTCTCCCGTTTCTCCTCCTCCTCTCCCCACCTCCATCACTATAAATCAAGTCACATAGGCCACATGGCTGGCTCTGTTCCTTCCATCTCCCACCCTGGTACTTCCACTTGAAATCCTCCCTCCTCAACCATGGCACAGCAGCTTCTCCATCAGACAAGTCACTAGATTCGAACATCAAATCCTTTAGGAGTTCTTTCCTGACTGCCAAAAGTAAATCCGAATAATTGCCCTCTTCTACAGTATCTACTTAATCTACCTAGCACTTACCAACCCCCGAATTACCTCTCTCATCTGCCTGTTGATATATTTATTTTCTGCTTCTCCTCATTCCAATCCAAACTGAAGGAAGTTCTTATGAGTGATCAGCTAGAATCAGTGCTGGCACATAATTAACACTGAATGAAAAAACATCTCTCTAGGAGGGTAAAAAACATCTCTCTAGGAGACCAGAATGATAGTAGAGTGGTTAGAGTGATCCCCCAGCAACCCATATGGTTCCCAGAGCACTGCCAGGAGTAATTACTGAGTGCAGAGCCAGGAGTAACTTCTGAGTATTGCTGTGTGTAGCCCAGAAACAAAACAAAAGAATACTATTGTGGTGCTTTATTGATAAAATATGAAGGATGGCCAGTAGCTGTTAATCTTTCTCTTAAGTGCTCATTCAAAAGAATTAGGAGGGAAAATAAATACCATGCCATAATCCTAAAATTGCTCTGTATTGCACTGAGACAAAGTGGCTAGCGGCTCTAAGAATCTGGTTATTTTCAACATCATCACTTTTAAAAAATATTTTCCCAGGGCTGGAGGGATAGCACAGCGGGTAGGGCATTTGCCTTGCACGCAGCCGACCTGGGTTCGATTCCCAGCTTCCCAAGTATTGAAAGGAGTAATTCCTGAGTGCAGAGCCAGGAGTAACCCTGTGCATCACCGAGTGTGACCCCAAAAGCAAATAAATAAATCTTAAAAAATATTTTTATTTTATTAAAAAATATCCTAGCCCCAAACAGAGGCTAGGATATGACTCAATAGTAAATCATGCGCCTGCCATGTATGAAACCATGAGTTTGACACTCAGAATTGTATAAACTATATCATTATCAATAACATCATCATCCCCAATAATAGCAACAACATAACTCCCAAACAATCCTAGCAGTTAAGATGCCTATAATCCCTCCCTCCACCCACCTTTTTTTTTTTTTTTGCAAAGAAAGAAACTTCCTGGGTATTTAGGGTTGGAGGATAATTACCAGTAATACACAGCCTGGTGGTGTCGCCTCATGGTTTGGTGCAAGGGAGTTAGCAAGGTCACCCCAGGCCTTGGTGAAGCAAGGTACCAGGTCTTGGGCTCAATGTTTGGGACATACCTGCCACAGAGACAGGGTGGGATGGGGGGATGGGGGGTGGGAGAGATACTGGGATCAGTGGTGGTGGAAAATGGGCACTGGTGCAGGAATGGGTACTCAAACATTGTATAATTGAAACCCAAGCACAAAAATATGTAAGTCTACAACTGTACCTCATGGTGTTTCACTAATAAAAATTTTAAAAAAATGTTTGGGACATACAAAGTATGAGCTCCATTCCCTTGAGCTACCTTTCAACCCCTATAATTGCCATTGCATATCTCAAGAAGTTGGGAATTAAGTGATTTGTCTAAGGGTCACTAAGCTAGCTACTGTCAAGATCTCAAGACTCTCCTCCACACCCACCCACACAGTATTGCTTCTGTATCATGCTTTCCCATACAAAGTAGCTCCTTCCCTAGCTTATTCCACCCCAAAGGCATTCATTTTCCATTATTTTACTCCCAGAACAAATCGCTATCTGTTCTTTACTTTATGTTTATTGTTCTGTCTTTACTAACAGGAGCTCCAGTTCCTTCATTCATTGGTAATGGTGCCTGGCAAACAGGGGGCCTTCACATCCTTGAATAAATAGGACTCTAGGAGGTTGTCCCGAATAGAGCTAATCTGGTGGTGGTGGTAGGGTCTGTTTTTATGACTCCAAAGTCCACGATATTGGCCCTCTAACCACCTTAACCACATCTTCATCTCTTTTTATATTTAGGAGGATATGACGGTGTTCATACCCAGTTGTGCTCAGGGCTTCCTCCTGGCTCTTCCAGTGACTTTACCCATAAAGTAGCATAAGGTACAAATAGAAATTGAACCGAGAGTGCAAAGGCTTACCGGACGAACGGGCAACTCGAGTTTTGATCTTTCAAAGCACAAACCCTCTATCTTCAGCCTGGGATGGGCAAGGTCTATAATTCTTGGAGTGGCAATTGCTCTCAGGGTAGAAGTAGAAATACGGGCATCAATCTAGAAGAGGAAAATGAAATTGCATCTGTTAAGTATTAAAGAATAAACATTTGCTGTGAAATTCTAGGTTTGATCTCTTGCACTTCATGCTCCCAAGTGACTTCCAACTACCAGAAGTGACTTCCAACTACAGGAAGTTCAGCTAGGTGTGGGCCTGAAAAAGCAACAACAAAAACCCTTCAGGTCTATTGTAAAGTTTAATGTATAGATTTTTAAGTGTCTTTTACTAGTAAGCATATTCTGATGGTCTACATAGAAGGTTAAAGTAAAATGTTCAAATGAAATCCAACATAACAACTGATAAGTGTAAAGTATTTACAGGTAGTTAAGGTTGGAAATAAAATCAAGTATCACTAAAGATTTGTAAAAAATGGATTGCAAGGCCAAGAGATAATATAGTGGGTGGAGGATTTACCTTGCCCATTTTGCACTCAGGTTTGATCCCTAGCATCCCATATGGTCCCCGAGCACGACCAGGGGTAATTTTTGAGTGCAGAGACAGGAGTAAACCTTGAGCACCACCAGATGTGGCCCCCAAACCAAAATAAATAAAATAAATATAGGAAAATAAATAAAAATGGGTGGTGAATAATTTAAATTAAGCTCATACCTCTGAAGGTTCTTTTTGGCATACACATGCAAGGGCACCAAAAGGTCCACATTACTGGTGTGGCAGCTTTTTCCCTAAAACGCTGTAAATTCTTTTTTTTCTCCCTTTATTTATTTTTTAATTATTTTTTTTATTAAAAACACCATGATTTTACAAAGTTGTTCAATATGCAGTTGTTTTGAGCATTTAGTTGTTCCAACACCACCAGTGTGGCTGTCCCTCCATCAATATCCTGTTTCCCTCCCAACCCTAACAGCCGCCTGAAGCAACTAACAAGACTCTTAAATTCTTTACCATTTATCGCACAGAGGTGGGGTCTGTGACCTTGGTCAGTTCACCCCATCTTGGGCAACCTGATGGCTCCTCCCTCCCGGAGTGGAGTGAGGAGGATCACCGTTTTGTTGTGTAATTCAGTGCGGGGCAGAGCATCACCGTGGCACACTGCAGCCCCGGGCTCAAGCCTTCTTTTTGCCCCAGCTTCAGACAGGCATGCAGCACAACACCCTGCTGAGGTAAGGTGTGTCCTCCTGCCCCTTGAATCTGGCCAGACCTCCAACTCCATCAATCAGCAGACTATGGCAGCAGTAATTTTGGGGATCCCCAGGCCAAGTCCTATAGAAACATGCAATTTTCGGCACACTCTTTGAAACGGCTGCCTTCGGAACACTGCACTTTAGGGTATCCTCTTTTCAGAGGCTCTATGCTGTGCCAGAGACCTCTAAGCCACACGGACATGCATGAGCTCTTGAAGATATTCCTAACACATGCAGCCTTCAAGTCATTCTCACAAATGTTTTTTTTGTAGGTTGATTTTATTTGCTCCCTCCCACATTTCCCATAGTGGAGCCAGAACCCCAACTGTGATGGTAGTAGGAGTAGAGGCAGTTAACTTTAGATGAGTTATAAAGTTGGTTCTACAGAGATAGCACAGAGGATCTTGGTCCTATCCCTGGTCCTGAGTATGGTTCTCCCAAGACCCGCCAGGAGTAATCCTGGAGCACAGAGGCAGGAGTAATCCTTGAACACTTTCAGGTGTGCTCCCTCCCCCCAAAAAGATAAAAAAAATTTTCTGGACACACTGCCAAAATGTAGGTCATGTGAGCACCAAAAAGGTGCAAGGCAGACTCCTTATCAAGGAGAGTATCTCGGGGCTGAACAGATAGAACAGTGCATTGGCCAGGTTTGATCCTGAGCACCATCAAGAGTGATCCCTGAGCACAGAACTAAGACTTAGCCCTTAGCACATCTGGGAGGTCCTCGAGCTACCCAAAAGAAGAATAATATATGCTGGCATCTGGACCTTAGATTTCTCCACCCCCAGAACTGTGAGAAATACATTGTTTCACTACTCAGACTATGGTATTTTGTTATGGCAAAGAAGCTGACTTAAGGTGTGCAGAAGGCTTCCAAGATTCCAAGCCTTCCCCATTTCGGAAGACAGAAAGCCATTGGCCGTAACCCAGTTGACGCCCCAATTACTGGAATAGAGACAAAGCATACCTGCTTGCTCATTTCTGAGTCATAAAATCCTTGAGCCTTACAAAATAGTGGTGGCTTTATCCTATTAACTTTGAGGATGGTATGAAACAAAGCCAAAGATAACCAAATCAAGCACTGAAGGATAGCTTCCCGGTATTGGCCCTAGATGATGTATACTGTGCTTTGGAGTTGATTTTATTTAAGGGTATTCATGATCTAAGGGGGAACAGGAAGCAGATGTGGGAGAGAGATACTTATAGTCCCTAGCATGTAGTCAGGGAGAGAGGAAAAAAAAGACTGAGAGATATCTGTTCTAAGAGACATTTTAGTGGATAAGTATAGTCAGGTTAATGAGCTGCTTCAAAGTTTTAATTCTTCTAAGGGAATTTAAGGAAAGAAATCATCAGCTTCAGCCTTTAAGTTTAAAGATGTGTTTAAGGGGTTAGAAAGCTTCCGTGGCTTACTAAATGCTAACTCTCCTCTAAAGTTACAGGGTTGAAAATTTTGAAAACCAAACTCAGTAGCAAATTTTGAGTCTGTGAATTACAGTGCAAACAAAATTCGCAAAGCATACGGTCACGGTCCTCCCGTTGTTCATAGATTTGCTTGAGCGGGCCCAGTAACGTCTCCATTGTGTCACTTGTTACTGTGTTTGGCATATCGAATACGTCACGGGGAGTTTGCCAGGCTTTGCTGTGCAGGCGAGATACGCTTGGTAGCTTTCCGGGCTCTCCGAGAGGGGCGGAGGAATCGAACTCGGGCGGCCATGTGGGCTGCGTGCAAGGCAAATGCTCTACCTGCTGTGCTATTGCTCCAGCCCGCAAAGCATACAGTCCCTCTAACAAGGTCAGAGCAATGTATTGAAGGAATGAAACCTCAATAATTGAATTGGGACTAGATAGACAGATTCCAATTAAACTGGGGGAAGACTTGAAATTTCTAAACACTATTGAGGTTTCTCTGCCATAGTAAGTCCCTCCTCCCCTGTCTGGGGAATTTAGACTTCTTGCCCGAAGAATCTGCAATGGCTTTTCGTGAAGTAGTAACTTCCGGGGAACTGCTGGCCCACCCCTACCAACTCCCAGAGCTTCAGATCTTTGGTGTCACACACAAGTTCCAACTGCCCCGGCAACCTCTCTTAGACTTCTTCACCAGCTCCCATAATTGCAGTTTAATATCACAAAACACTAAACACAACACAAGGTGGTTCAGCTTTTTGGATCAAGACCCACTCACCCATTAGACACAGAGAGGAAAGGAGAAAAGTTCAGTTGTTAAGAAGGGAAAATGAAGAAGAAAAATAAATGAACACCAAAAAGTATAGAGGAGTCACAGAACTGTTATATGTTACAAAGTCCACAGGAGACATTTTCTTTCCCATGGGTCAACTTACTTTTCTTGGAGGTACGTAGTTTGGATCTATCTCTTTGGCTATTGAAAGTCTTAATAGTCGAGGAGAAGGGTCAGACATTCGAAAGGATCTTTTTGTTACTTGATCACTGAAGCGATTATACACAAATGGAACATAAAATAGTATAATTATTAGAGAAACAACAACTGCATTTTTTATTTACGATAATCAAGCTCCAGTATCAACTATATACATATTATTTATATCGTTGGATCATCTCTCCCATAATTAATACTGCTTTCTGAAAAATTATTGCTCTCCAAATTTTTCTTTATAGTGTGCATTCTTATTGTGGTACAGTAGATGTAAATCTGACTGTGCATATATTAAACCAAAATTTTATAAAACAGGGACTAAAGAGATAATACAGCGGGTAGGGTGGCTTGCCTTGGATACGGCTGACCCAGGTTCAATCCCTGGCATCCTATATGTCCCCTCCCATCCCCATGCACCACCATGTGTAATTCCTGAGTGCAGAGCCAAGAGTAACACCTGAGCACCCCTAGGTATGGCCCAAACTACCCCCTCCCCAAATTTAGCAATACTTGCTTTATGCAGTGAATTTAGATTTTTCTTAATTTCATTGAACAAAACTGGGATCAATTTATGGTTCATCTATAGAATGAGGACTTGAAATTAAAAAATAAACACTTCACTTCTGTAGGATAACATTGGTATGTCATTTCTCCCTGGCTGCAGGGAGCTTTATTGTGTTTATTGGGTTACACCCATCACAATGCTCCCGAGGCACTCCATTCCAGTGTGTTTATCTTTAACCACTTCTCTGTACTCTCTTCCCCAACCAGTTAATCACCATTTTTCCCTAATTTGTAAAGTCAAATTCCTCAGGAATCTCTGATTTTGTATTTGTAATTGAAATACTTCTTTTCTCCTTCCCTTATTTCCTTTTGCATAGTTTACTTCAGAGCTATATTCTTTTTGCACAGACACAGGAAGACAGTTAATGCTATGAGTTTGTAACTTGGGAGTTACAAATTATTGACTCCAAATTATATTCACTCCTGAGCATCTGCTTCCTAGATTTAAGCTTCAGTTGCCCCTAGTTCCTAGCACCCCAAAAGCAGGGTCCCGACGAGGGACTAGATGAACCCAGGGCAAGCTTTGAGGTGCACTGGCATCGAAATGGGTCAGGTCAAGAGCCATAATACTTAGCTCTAAGTTAAGAGCATGTCATGGACAATTTCTATCATGATCCAAAGAGTAACAACAGGATTAGGACCCTTTTAGGGTTAGGAAAGACTAATCTATCTTGAGCATTGTAGTCTGGGATCTATAGTGAGATGACTCAAGGAGAGCCACCCTACCTTAATGTATCTCTTACTGTGTCCATACAAAATGACTAATATTAAGAAGTAGAATTGAGATGATGGTTATTGGACTAAGGAAAGGAGAAACACACTCCTAGCTGGTATTTGGTCTTTGAGTGAATCTCCTGACTGCAGGAGATCTTTAGAAGAGCTTCCCGGAAGGAAGGAAGGAAGGAAGGAAGGAAGGAAGGAAGGAAGGAAGGAAGGAAGGAAGGAAGGAAAGAAGGAAGGAAGCTTTCATATGTTGATTGTGCTGCCTAACCTGTGTGGTTGCTACCCCCAAGGCTTGGAGGTTGGGGCTAGAAGGGGGCTTCCAGATGGAGCACGGAGAGACTAGCATAGGGGACAGGAGAAGACGGGAATGAGGGGCAGTGTGAGACTGGAATGGGGCACTTAGTGAGACTGGAACAGGCCCATGGGGAGAATGGAATTAATGGCAACTGATCATCAACTAGCCTGGTGGCCTTCCTTCATGCATCCATTGGTGGTGGCTGCAGGCTGGGATGAGTAAGCGGCTCATGGCCATCAAACGCATGCTGTGGGCAAGAGAGACACTGCAACTGCCCATCACGCTCACTCATTTATTTTTTGATTACACACACTTCCTCTCAAAACTCATATTAAATCCTCCAAATAAAAATGCTAATCCACACAAAGACATTCCCCATCATAATAATGAGCTGGCATAACTGCCACCAATTTAGTTAACTTTCATAGGTTGTTCTTCATGTATTTCTTTCCTAGAGTAAAACCAACTAAGGAATCAGCAAACCCACAAACCCGATAGAGAAAAGGGCTTTCTCAATATATTTTTCTATGTATTGAGAATATATATTGTAGGGTGGTTGTTAAGTTTTTAAAAATGGCATACAATTATGTACTACATAAAATAATATTCCATGGTGAATATAAAAATATATCACACCTTGTGGTGCTCAAGGCTTACTCCCTGCTCTGTGCCCAGGGATCACTCTCGATGGTGCTCAGGGACCATATATGGTACAGGAATAGAACTGGGGTTGGTTACATTCAAGTCAAGAAATTAACCTTCATATTTTCATTCTGGTCTCTGTACTATGTTTTCTAATTTTTTAAATATCATAGAATGACTCTTTTATAATCTACAGTGGAGTGGATCAGACATACTCATAAGTGTGTACAATCATCACCAATAATTTTGAGATATTTTCATCAAACCAGGGAAAATCCCCTATTATTAACAGCTTCTCACTATTACTCCCCTACAAACACCCCAGGAAACTACTGAAATTTTCTATCTCTGTGGAGTTGCCTATTCTGGAAATTTCCAGGAGGTGGTATCATACAAGAGGGCTGGAGCAATAGCACAGTGGGAGGGCATTTGCCTTGTGCACAGCCAGCCTGGCCGAGCCGGGTTCGATTCCTCCGCCCCTCTCGGAGAGTCCGGCAAGCTACCAAGAGTATCTCGCCCGTGAGGCAAAGCCTGGCAAGCTACCCGTGACGTATTCAATATGCCAAACACAGTAACAACAAGTCTCACAATGGAGACCTTACTGGGCCCACTTGAGCAAATCAATGAACAACCAGAGGACAGTGTTGTTTGTTTGGTATCATACAAATATGTAGCTCTTATATCTAGCTTCCTTCACTTAGCATGTTTCAAGATCCATGTGTCAATGTCATATCATTTTATGGTTGAATAATGTTCCATGGTATAGATTTGCCACACTTTGCTTATCTATGCATCCACTAACAGACAGTGCTTCACCTTTTGACTCTTATGGAATGATCTGTGAATATTCATGTACAAGTGTGTATAGAACATTTTCAGAGTAGAACTGCAGATAATATTACAACTTTATATTTAACATTTTGAGTAAATGGAAAAGTTTTCCAAGTAAGCAGAAATTTTAGGTTACCATAAATAATATTTGGTTTTTGGGCCACACTCAGAGATGCTCAGGATTTACTCCTGGTTCTGCATTCAGCAATTACTCCTGGAATGTTTGGGGAACCATATGGGATGCTGGGGATCAAACTTGAGTCGGCTGCATGCAAGACAAATGCCCTACCCACTGTACTATCACTATGCCCCCCTGTTTTCTGTATATTAAATTGTTAATGTTATAATTATGAATGCCATTCTAGAAGATGCATGTAGTATCTCATTATTTTAATGTTTCAAAAATGACTAATAATATTAAATATTTTTAATGGGTCTATTGACCCTTTGTATATCTTATTTGGAAACTAACAAATGCATTACCAATTTAAAAAAAATAATGGATTTGTGTATATATTTCTAAAGATCTTCTCTATATATTCTGAATGTTAGTTCCTTAACAGATTAACAACCATTTGCTTACTTATATATCTTTTTACTTACTTACAGATCTTTTCCCAAATTGTGGATTATCTTTTCTGTCTCTCAATAGTGTCTTTTGATGAAAAAATGTTTTTGCTTTAAAGTAGATTCATTTATTTGTTTTGGTCACATGATTTTGGTGCCATGTCTAGGAAAACATTGTCTTATTCAAGATGCCATAGATCTATCCCTTTGCTTTCTAGTAAGAGTTTAATAGTTTTAGCTCTTAATACTTAGCTCTGTGAGCTATTTTGAATTCATTTTTTATATGGCATGAAGTATAAACAAAACCCTATGCCTCAGCATATGAAGAGACATTTACTCCAGCACCATTTAAATTTTGTGTGTGTGAATAAAACAGTATTTTTAGGAGAGAGCGATTGAGCAAGTGCGCGAGTGAGAGAGATAGCACCACCCAAAATAAAGCCGTATCCTAAGGGAAGGTACAGGCACCTCCAGATTGAAGTGCTGTAAGTGAGAGCTTACACAGAGACCAGCACCATTTGTTTAAAAGATTCTGAGGCTGAGTGATAATACAGCAGGCAAGGTATTTGCCTTTCACGCATTCAACATGCGTTGGATCTCCTGCACTCCACATGAAACTCCGAGCCCCTCCAGGAATGATCCCTGAGCTCAGGGTCAGGAATAAGCCCTGAGCACCACCGGGTGTAGCCCAAAACAAAATAAATTGAAAAGTAAAAGAATCGTTTTTTCTCAATTAAATTATGATAGTGACCTTGTCAAAAATCAGTCAACCCTATGATTCTTTCCTGTGCTGTCTTGGATTGGCTGGTGAGCTACTCTAAAGAGAAAAGAGTAAACTATAAGGTCTGCGCTTACATCATATATTTGCTGGCAGGCCCTGTATATCTTCATCAAGCACTTGTTTCTCACCCTAGTTCTCCTCCCTAATAAGCTTGACGGTATTTCCAGTTTACAGAAGATTTTGTTTTTAATTTTAATTATATTAAAGAACTGATTTACAAAGTTATTAATAGTTGAGTTTTAGACATAAAATGCTGTAGCATCAATCCCACCACCTGTTTCAGCTTCCCTCCACCAGTGTTCTCAAGTTCTCTGCCCCCTCCCCCACTCCAACCCCCAGCCTGAAACCTTGACAGGCACATTTTTATTTTTATTTATTTTTTTTAAATGTAGGAGTACTGCTATTTATTCAGCCACTGATTAGCTGATTGAATTGTGCATGAACTCCAGCTTACCTTTTTTTTTTCATTTTTTATAATTTTATTTATTGAATCACCGTGAGAGCAGTTACAAAGCTTTTGGGTCTAAGTCTTGGTCATACAATGAAACAACCACACCTTCACCAGTGCCCATTCTCCACCCCCAACAACCTCAGTATACCCCCATCTCACACCCTCCCCCTACCTGTGGGGCAGATGATTTCCACATTAC